TCTCCTCTGTAGAAAGATGAGGTTGTCTACTTCCAGAAAGATTTATAGTCTCAGAAACCTACTTATGGTTGCAATGAATCAGAAACTACTTGATGGCAATGGATGGGGTACCCCTGATCTTGGCTTCTCGGCTCAGCAAGACTACGGTGTTCTGTTTGAGCCCCACTTGAATGACTGCAGGTTCATGAGTTTTATCTTTTTTTTGTAGAACTCGAGTCCTCACACTACCTTCCTCTAAATTCTGAGAAAAGTTGTTTTATACTTATATTTTATATTGAGTTTTAAACTTTGTATATTTTTTAAGTTTCAGAATTGTTTATATCTAGAATTTCAGTTACATTTTCTGTAATGATAATGAACATTGAAATCTAGTACAAGATATCTAAAAATATATATACCTGGCTATCTCAAAAAAGCTTTTTTTTTAAAAAAAATGAATTTCGGGATACTTTATTGTGTGGATGCGGAACCTGCACATGGGCCAAGAGGTAGTGGTTTGAACGGAACAAAAGAATACCAAGTGGCTTAAAATCAGGACGGTGTGCATCAGAGCCGTTTCATTTTACCATCTTAAGTCAATCTATATGCTGAGCAAATAATCAAGAGAAGCTGGATATATGAAGAAGAACTAAGCATCAGGATTGGAGGAAGGTTTACTGACAACCAGCCTTATGCAAGTGACACAAACTTGCTTGCTGCAATTCAGGAGGACTTGAAATACTTGTTGAAAAAGATCAAAGACTGTAAACTTCACCATGGATTACAACTCAATTCAAAGGAGACTAAAATTCTCACAACTGGACTGATGAGTTACATCATGATTAACAGGAAGAAATGATTGACGTTGTCAAGGATTTCAGTTTGCTTGGATCCACAAACAATGCTCATGGAAGCAGCAGTCCGGCGATCTAATGGTGTATTGCAAGGGGGCAAATCTGCTGCGTAAGACCTCTTTAAAGCATTGAAGAGTAAGTACATCATTTTAAGGACTAAGGTCTACCTGATCCAAGCCATGATATTTTCTTTTCTTTTCTTTTAAGCCATGATATTTTCATTCGCTCAATGTACATGTGAACTGTAGACAACTAATGAAGAAGGCCAAAAAAGAATTCATACATTTGAATTACGTGTTAGCTAAAAATATTGAAAGTACCTAGGACTGCAGGAAGAAATGACATCTCTGTCTTGCAAGAGGCAAAGCCAGAATGCTCCTTAGCAGTGAGGGTGACAAAGACATTGTCTCATGTACTGTGGACATGTTATCAGCAGAGGACAATCCTTGAAAAGGACATAATGCTTGGGGAAGTAGAATGTTAGTGAAAAAGAGAAAAATCCTCAAGGGTTTTTTGAAATAGTGGCTGCTTTAATATAGCCCGTTGTTACACAGGGCCAGTGTGGTAGATAAGGATAATGTGAACTAGACCCTCCTGGCCTTCAAACTTCAGTGTGTCTAGGAATTACTAGTGTTACTGGAATTCAGGTTCTTGTCTTACCAAGATAAATATTTACTTTTGGAAGAGAGGCATCACATGAGAATTTTATTTAGAAACTACTAGGAAGGAAGAAGAAATCCTTACCAGCCTTCATGGCAAGTCTTGTCCCATAAATGCCCCACATTTTACAGAATTCCGGCATGCAGATTCTTCCACTGGGAACTTCCACTGGGGTGGGGAGCCAGGGGTTCTGGGAAATGTAGTCCCAAGATGTTGTCATGGATTCCACACACGATTCTATAAATATTTACCTTTGTTCCTTGGTTCTATGTCAACTAGGGATATATATTTAAAATATAAAATCCTAGTCATCTGCTCTAGAGATTCCTAATCTGTCACATTTCAGGTGCAGACCAGAAATCAGAATTTTTAGCCAGCAGGTAGAGATGATTCTGATGCAGGAAATCTTCAGATTTTACTCTAAAAATACCACTCTAGACCAGAACTTTCTGAAAGGTTATAAATATTTAATATTTGTGCTCTTCAGAAAGGTAGCCATCATCCATACAAGACTATTGAGCAACTGAAACATGCTGCCACTAAGGAAATGCATTTTGAAATTTAATTTAATATTGATGAATTGATCTGTAACTTAAATGACCACATGTGGATAGTGATTCTATATTATATAGCATAGCTGCAAGCTGTAGGCTTCAAAAGGACAAATACTTGGGCCACAGGCAATACTTTGTATCCTGAACAATAACAAAGTACCTAAAAGAGTAAAAAGATTATGGATCCTCAGAAATCCCATTTGTGATTTCATTTCACAGTAATATTTAATACCTATAGCATTCTTAGAGCCAATTATCTTCATAATCTCCGCTCCCCCTCCCCACCTGCAGGTGCTTATGAATTCTTTATAGCATTCTTTCTCTGAGACAGCTTAGTCAGAAGAATTCTTTTCCAGATGTGATTCTCACTGGCCTACAGCTCACTGTTTTGTAAAGGAGCAGGGGCTGATTTTATTTACTATATTCTTCCCTTCTGCGGTCCCAAGTCACTTGGCATCACCACCACTTCTAGGACTGTGAGTTTTGACTGTTCTTGTGGAGGTTCAAAAGTGGCTTCACTCATTGGACATGAATTGTTCATGTTTCAAAACAGATGAGTCAAATTCTCTACCAAATTCCCTGGTATGAATGGTATTCCTGCCTACCATTACTTCTGGAGTGAGAAGTAACATCTTTGGATTACTAGACCAAATGCCCAAACCAAATCCACTGCCATTGAATCGAGTCACAGTGACTCTACGGCACAGCATAGAATGTCCCTGTGAGTTCCCTAGGTGAAAGCCTGGCCTTTCTCCCTCAGAGCAACCAGTGGTTTGGAACCATTGACCTTGCAGTTAGAAGCCATAAGCATAACCCACTCCTCCACCAGGGCTCCTGGATTACTAAACAGGTCATGATAATCATTCAGATAGCTCTTCAAACCTACCCATTTCACTATAATAATGAGCTGTAGAAGCAATCATTAGCAGTGTTAGCATTTACTCTGATTCTACCCTTGTCAATGGCCCTAACAAAATCAGATCTGAAAACTTTCCAGTGACCCTGGAAGATTGTAGCACTAGCATTATGTCATAGAAAGCTGTTCGAGGCTTACGGAAGTGTTTCTCTCTAAAATCTAATGTATTTGGTATTATTTTGAATGGTTTATTGATGAATGATTGCTGGAAACCCCATTGGGTATAATTAGTACTTTTCATAGGCTTAGGTATTTTTGGATCAGATGTGTCATCTTAATTTCTGTTGGATTTTCCAAATATCTGATTTAGTTCATTTTATTTTCATTCACATTTTTTTAAAAACCTGATTTATAGTCATGATCTCTTGTCTCAATTCTCTATTTTATTGATTCCAGAATTCTACTGAAAGAATAACTTGACTCACATTTTCCAATCCTAAATGGCACCTTGAAATGAGAAATTAATTCCCTTAACATTTTCATAATTATAGAAATAAATTAGAGGTAAAGATTCCACCTCTTTTCTGACAGCCAGAATACAAGCTACCCAAGATGTAGTTGTCTCTGATGTCAGTACTCTTTACACATATTGATACCTAGCCAAATGGCCACTTCAATCTAATCCCTTATCATAGAAATGTCTTTCTTAGTGGAAAAAAATTAGGCTGTGTTCAACTTTTGTTCATAGTATGAAACTCTTCCCTACTGTGAGGTGTGTTTAATATAACATATTTTTCCATGGATCAATCAATTTCCTAACCCAGAAAATGCACGCCACTCTGGGAATAACTGTAGAGAATAAGGGATTCGCACCCCACGGATTCCTACAGGATTAGGATTTTTGCTTTGCCTTACACTTTGCAAATGTGTGCATGATTAAGTCTGATCAGAAAAAAGTTCAACTGTCCACTGGGGAGTTTTTTATTCCCAGTGTCCCCCATCTTCAGACAAAAGGTTGCAGAAAGTCTACATTTCAAACTGTGCTCTCCTTGGCCGTGAAATCTTTCTCCATGGTTGAGTGATTTTAAGAAAACCTCTTACACAGGCTTCGCTTGTTGTCTCAACCTCAGCAAGATCTTAAGCCAGCGCCCATCCCATAAGGTTAGCTCTTGCTTTGCAATGAATTTAGGCCATTAGATATTCTAATAAGGACCCAACTTGTACTTTCCTATTAGGATTGATTTGGCTGCCTTGCAACATCAGTATTCTGCTGACTCCTATCTGTTCCCTAGGCTGCAGCGCCAAACTCATCCATCATCACAGACAGGCACTTGGAAACCACCTCTTGCTGTTGCTTCCGCCTATCAAAGACTGAGTCAACTCCAGCCCAGTGACTCCTAGACTAGCCTGCCCTGGGGGCTCCTTCACACTCCGCCTCAGAAGTCCCTCTCCAGGTCTCTGCCCTTGCCTTTGGGAGTGGAGTTTTGTGCCCAGTACCAACACAGCTGAGCCCTTGAAAGCACAGCAAATGGAACACATGACTCTCTTTAATTCTCCCCCTGATCGTCTGCTGAAAGGAAGCTTTGCGGAGGCATTACACGCGGCAGAACCTGGAGCGGTTCCTGTCGCAGCTCCTACCCAAAATAGCAAGGGGTGAAATATAACCTGCGCACTGTTGTCAAAAACAAGTGTGAGCATTGCACTTCATGCTTGGCAGCCACCCCATCTGCAAGTGTGGGTTGTGGGGTCACCCCAAGGCCCAGTGAGGGATTTCAAAACTGGGTGTGTCCTGGCTTTCTGCTCTAAAGCCCTCTTGCTTGCCGACAGGGTGCTACAGGTGAGCAAGGAGCGGTTCCAAGTGTGCATTTAAGAGTCTCCAGGAGAAGATTCAAGGAGGAGAAGAAGGAGGAGGAGGAAGAATCACATACACTCGGGGAGTCACTATTTTTATATGATGGGATGTGCGACTACATATAATATGGTTGGGTTTTTTTTTTTGGGGGGGGTAGTTGTTATAGTCCACGTATAAAAGAGAACATAATAATAAAACCAAGTAAGTTTTTAACTTTTTTAAAGAGAAGGGTTACAGCCTTAATAACCCTCCAGATCCCTTGCCCATTAGATCTAAAAACTGATCTGAGTGGTTCTAACAGAAGGAAAAGCAAAATTGAAACTGACTTCCATTCTTTTCTGACACACAAGCTAGTTTCAAACAAACGAGCAAAAGAAAGTCTCCTATAGATCTTAGAGAAACTCACAGACACGTATAGTTTTCTGCACCACAGTTCTGCCTACTGGGTGCACCCCCTCCCCCCAAAGACCCCTCTGCCCGGGCATGAATGGCTGCCTTATACACACCTTGTTTGTGTGACCAGGCTCTCAGAGGAAGAGTTTGGACCTGCAGACAACTGCACATATTACCCAGAGGCCACCTGCCAAAGGTAGAGTCAGCTACGAAATACTGTACACCCAAATGGGGAGCACATGATTCAGATGAAGGCATCCAATCAAAGACGTAATAGACATCTTGGGCAGCAAGTTTCCTGGTGCTCAAAGCACTCAACCTCTGACTGGTAGAGCTCTGGATGAGGACATTGTACAGACGGTTCAAAGCTTACGTGAGTCATGTCAAAATATTATTTTTAAGGACTCTCCCAATTCTAGGATTACACTGTCTATAAATTCTCTAATCAACAGCACATACTAAGTTGCTGGGCAAAGACATGTGATATTTGCAAAGGTGAGCATCAAACCATTTACAAGTGTAGACCCCGTGTATAGTCATCCTTGGGGCTTCAAACAAATGGATGGATAATAGAACCCAAGCAAAGAAGCCATTGCTGGGTCTTTGTTGCACATTTAGGTGCCATTGAGTCAGATTCAACATAACAGAACGGAACACTGCACGGTCCTGAAAGCCGTTTGTTCCCGTCACTGTTCCGATGCCCGAGCCCATTGGTGCAGCCACAGTGTCCATCCGTCTTGTGCAGGACTTTTCTCTTATTTGCCTCCCCTCCACTTTACCCAACATGGTGTTTGGTCCCCAGGGACTGGTCTCTTCTGAAAATCTGTCCAAAGTATGTAAGATGACGTCTTGCCATCCTTGCCTCTAAGGAGCACTTGGGCCTTGTTTCGTCCAATGCAGATCGATTTGTCCTTTCAGTATTCCGTGGTACTGTCAATATTCTTCTCTGGCACCACAATTCAAATGCGTCTATTCTTCTACAGTCTTCGTCTTCAATGTCCAGTTTTCACATGCATATGATGCTGAGGAAAACATCACGGCTTGGGTCAGGCACACCTTAGTGCTCAAAGTAACATCCTTGTTCTGCAATAGTCTAAAGAGGTCTTGTGCAGCAGATTTACCTAGTGCAATACATCTTTTGATCTCTTAACTGCTGTTTCCATGAGCATTGATTTCGGATCCAAGTAAGACAAAATCCTTGACCACCTCAACCTTTTCTCCATTTATCATTCATTGGTCCAGTTGTGAAGATTTTGGTCTTCTTTACATTGAGTTGTAATCCATACTGAAGGCTACCATCCTTACTCTTCATCAGCAAGTGCTTCAAGTCTAAGGTGACCAGACGTCCCGCTTTTGGTGGGACAGTCCCAATTTTTGGCCTTTTAAAAAAGTCCCGAGTTTTGGAAAGAATGCACAACATGCTAGGGAACGGTCTATTTGGTCCATATAGACCACATTTTAAATCAATAACACCCCCCGCCCCGTCCCCCGCCCCCAGTCAATGGTGTCCCACTTTAAATCTGGTCACCTTATTCAAGTCCTTACTTACAGCAAGCAAGGCTGTGTCATCTGCATATAGCAGATTGTTAATAAGCCTTCCTCCAATTGGATGCCACATTCCTCTTATAATCCACCTTCTCTGGTGGTTTGCTCAGCATGCAGATTAAACACGTGTAGTGAGAGGATACAGCCCTGATGCACACCTTTCCTGATTGTAAAACATGCAGTACAACAAACTGACAGACAAATGGTAGTCCTTTTACATAAATGAACGTTTTGTGTACAAAGGTTCATATACACACAAGCTAGCACATTACAGTTTACATGATTTGATAATACCATAACACTACAAGTAAAAAAAGGTCAATTTCATCGCCATTTTTTTCTTCTTCATTTGGCTGAACTGAATCATTGAAGACAAACCCCAAACAAGCCAATCGTCATCCATTTGACTCTGACTTACGATGTTCCCGTGCGTGTCTGAGGAGAACTGTAACTCACAGGGTTGTACTGGACTGATTTTTCAGGAGAAAAACACCGGTTTGTCCTCCAAGATGTCTCTGCGTGAACTAGAACAATTCGCCTTTTGGTTAGCAGTGATATATGTCAAATGTTTGCCCCACCCTGGGACTCTGACGACCCCGGTAAAATGATCATGGAAGAACATAAGGGAACATGCAGGTGAAAGCTGTGAAACCCAGTTGTGCCAGGGATGAAATGCTCACCGCTTCTATCTAGACAGTTTCACCTCATGGTAACCCTATAGGTAACCCTATAGGACAGAGTACAACTGCCTTCATCCAAATATTCTGAGATCATACATCTTCATCCGAACAGACACCCTCTTCTTTCTCCTTTGGAGTGGCGGATGAGTTTGAAGTGCCGTCTTTGAGATTAACAGTCCAGCACTTAAAAATGTTGGGACACCAAGCCTCCACGGGGCATAGAATAGTATGCTTTGTTTCTCAGAAATAACACTGTACTTGTGAGACCGTTATAGGAGAAGAAAACAGCGTTGAAAGTAGAAACACCAGGGTAAAGTTGCCTCATGGATACAAGCTCTACCCTATTCCAGCCCGTGAACGTATATATTTCTGCAAGTTATCAAGTGATTTAATGCCCTGTCCCCTCAATTTACTCACTGACTTTAACCCAGATCACTCACACAAGTACAGATCAATGAGGGAGTATCCACTCCTTTCTTACTGGGAGAAGGAAACAGAGGAAGGGTATGGGACGATGCAGAAGGAGGAGCAAATACAAACAGCTGACCCAGTTGCAGGATTCCTAGTACGATCTCATTGGGAAAACCAAAGAATGCACCAGGATGGTCCATACTCACCTGGAAAATGACTAGGGAAACAAGACAAGTCAGGATGAATGCGATAAACACCCTAGTAGGCTGTGCTTGGTCTCCAAAATGGAGTTTACTCTGACCCTAGCAGCCCTGTAGGACAGAGCAGAATGTTCCCTGTGGGTTTTCAGGGCTGCAAATCATTATGGGAGCAGACACCTCATCTGTCTACCACAGAGAGGCTGGTGTGAGTATGGAAATGACCCAGGTGAGCCTTTTGAGAAGAACTGCGTACTTTAGTAAAATTGCCAGAGCCTTAATTGCAATAGAAAAGAGTAAAGATATGGGGGAAGGATGACAATGAAGGAAGAAGGTAAGGGGCAGAGAGAAGAGAGCATAGCAGGGTGGACTCCATAAAGGGATCAAGATCAAGAAGGGAGCGATTGCTGGGAACTAGGTACTGTGGTCTACCCCAGTGAGACATAGTACCTCACACAGCTAAACAAAGCCAAACTCCTGCCTTCACGTTGATTCTTAGTCATAGCAACTGTACAAGACAGAGTAGAAGTGCTCTTGTGGGTTTCTGAGGCGCGAATCTTTATCAGAGCAGAAAGCCTCATCTTTCTCCCACGTAGCATGCAGTGGGTTTGAACTGTTAACTTTGTGGTTAGCAGCCCAGTGTGCAACCCACTACATCATCAGAGCTCCTTCTTCAATTTGGTGTAGATGGCAAACTTGAAGCATAGTGTTTTAATAATTTTGCTTCGGTCAGACAGCTAGCCAGTTCTGGAAGAGAATTTTAACCTAGATCTACAGCAGTTCCTGGGTAGAGTCATCCCTTATGGAATGCTGACTATCGAGTCACCGAACCATTATGTTTTTGAACTGAAAAGCATCTTAGAGAGCAGAGCACTGAAAACAGAGATTCTTACAGTTCCAGTGGCTGAGAGATCTTAAATGTCTGCCAGCTAAGGATTTGCCCAAGCAGCTGCAAGAAAGAGGTAGAGCCATTTTTTAATTTATCATTAGATACCAACCGTAAAGCCAAGCCTGTTGTTCTTAAGCCAACTTCTACTTATGGTAATCTTACATGCTACCAAACAGAACTGTGCCTCACAGGGCTTTCTCCACAGTAGTTTTTTCAGAAGCAGATTTTCAGCACTTTTCTTTTGTGGTACAACTGAGGGAATTGGAATCCCCAAACCATTTGTGCCAGCTAGGGACCTTACCACATATACACAGGAGGAGGTTGATTTTGCAAACAGTGCAACTGCTAAGCAAAATTGTCACTTTCCTGATCTGAGATGATTTAATCAGAAGTTCTAGGAACTCGTTTCCATATGATTTAGACTAATCTAGGATTTTCAAGTACCCCCAATCTAGCCAATACTCCTTCATCCAATTCATGATTAAACGTTAAAATGAAATTTTAAAAATATAATCTTAGTCACTCCTAAATGTTGTCCAGTTGAAATTGGTCTACTTTAAGTCAGGATCAAGGAATGCATCTCAATGAAAAGAAAAACAAAATTCTCAAAATTGGCTGAATAGGTACCATCATGGTAAGTAAAGAAAAGATAGAAGTTGCCAAGGATTTTTGTCTCGTGGATCCACGTTCAATGCTCATGGAAGACGCAGTCAAGTGATCAAAAGACACATTGCACTGGGTAATCTGCCGCATAGATTCCTTTAGGGTATTGGAAATCAAGGATATTACTTTGGGGAGTAAGGTGTACTTGACCCAAATCATGGTATTTTCTATCATCTCATATGCATGTGAAAGATGGACACTGAATAAGGAAGAATAACGAAGAACCAATGCATTTGAATTGTGGTGCTGACAAAGAATATTGAAAGTACCATAGATTGCCAAAAGGACAAACAAAACAACTGTCTTAAAAGAAATATGGCCAGAGGGTACCTTAGAGACAAGTTTCTGGAGAAGGACATCATGCTTGCTGAAATAGCAGGGCAGTGAAAGAGAGGATGGCCCTCAAGGACAGGGACTGGCATGCGGCTGCAACAATGGCTCAAACATAACGACACTGTTAGGAAGGCCCAGGACCCGGCAATGTTTCCTTCTGTTGTGCATTGAGTCACTGTGGGCAGGAGCTGACTGGACTTCCAGTTTTGAGGAAATAAGAATTAAAATGCTTGTTTAAAAGTCCTATTAAATTTC